TCAGTCATACGTAGGACCATTAATAAAGGAAGGAAGATTGAAATAATAAATGTAGAACGATAAGAGAAGAGCTGGTTAGATAGCCAGAGTCGCCAATTGTGACGATTCTTGTTGTAAGAGATACTACTTAGAAGCTACTCTAAGCATATTTTATTGGTATAACAAGAAAACGTCCATATGCTGTAATTTTCTCGTTCCTTATATACTACTTCGTATATATAGAACGACCTTGAAAAATACAGTGAACACAATAACAGAAAAATACGACAGGAACAAAGGTTAGAGCACAGTTATGGACCACGCTATGCACGAGAGAAGAACGCACCAAGCATGTCATTCCAAAGTAGATATACAGAACAGAACAGGATATTGTGGTTATTCCTTTTACGGATAACATTATGCACGAGAGAAGAACAAACTAATGATGTAGCTCCAAAGCACATATAGGAGAAGAACGAGGTAAAGAAATTTCAATCGAGGATAGGGGATAGATTATATATGAGGCCGGAGTATTACACTTACTTCTTTTGTGAAAGTTCATTACTCACACCGAGTAAGAGCACCCAATTCATAGAGATCCTTCGATCATCAAGGTACATTGTACATATCTACATTAGCATGAGAACCATTCACTCAGGTTCACACTCAGTGGCAGTAGTGTAGAATTCGCTAAGTCAAACGAACTTTTCTAGTTTAATAAAAGTGTACTTCAAAATGCGTAAACTCCAAATTAGAAGCTCTCTTACGCGTGCACATTGTACCAATCATATTCAATTCATGTTTTATAAATTACAATAGCAAGAGATTATATAATGCTGAGAAAAATTATAATTGCTGAATTAGTTCCAGTGTAACTCTTAAAAGGTTATGCACGGACATCATGGCTTTAAGGAATATTAGAGCGTATCAAGGGTCTAGAGCTCTGTGAGCATTGTACTTGTAATTTTGTAAGCTATGTATGAGCATCATATATATATGAGTCTTTTCAAAGCTATCTTAGCGTCATTGTAATATCGAGAGATTGTCTCAAGGAAGAGGTCTCATTGGAATAATTTGAGTCATTTTGAGCCAACCTTAGCTATTCTAATCCATTGTAAATCGTTCTCATGGAGAAGGAATTTTTACTAATAATGCCAAGTGTACCTTGAACAATCGAACTTCGATAAAGGTCTCTGTTTTTCGTAGCAGCGTAAAAAACATAGTATTCTCTATGTTGATCGCAGGGTTTCGATAGGATCGCTTTTGTATGTGACTTGAACAATACTAACTTTTTGATGGACAACAAAATAAGCAATCGCTTGCTTTTCATCAACATCAATCAGATTTTAGTAATTATTTTCTCTACTGTGGTAAGGACTAAATATGGTGCCGTTCGGATAATATGAAATAGAACCTCGCAAAGCCTTCGAATCGGCGTTAATAATACTATTTCTGACTGTTACAGTAGCAAAGAAGTCTTTCCTAAATAGGATGCGTTGAAAGAAAAATCTCCCAGTCAATCAGGTTTCAGCGGAACTTTTCTTTACTTCAGTATTGGCAAAGCATGGTGTTTCTGAGACCAATCAGAGCATTGGTATGGCTAGTCTGTTATATGTGTTGGGCTATTAAATTCTTTGTCCGTAATAGAGAATTGAAGCCATGCAAAATTCCCTAACGCAAACAGTTGAACTTAAGACCTCTGCGTAAAGAAAATGTCAATCTGCATAGAAATTTCAAAGTTGAGATAATTAGAACCATGATATTTCGAAGCTGTGATTTCAGTCGGTTCTACTAGAGAGATGAATAAATGATCTGGTTTTCTAATCTGCCTGTCGTGATTACTTAAAATCAGTAAAAATCATAGTTTTTTTGGGTCACGGCACATAGTAATGTCTTCAAGCGTATCTAAGTCAGCAGACCTGCCTCAGAATCACCGAGCTTACTTGAAATTTTCGTAGAGTGCAGCTGGCTGGTCTTTTGATACGAGATGTGACGAAGTATCACAAATTCCATCAGAAAAGTCGCATTTCAGTGAGACATAAAATAAGAAAATTTATGTAAAATTTCTCAGAAATACTGAGCCTGGAAATTCTTTTCGTTCTTCGGCATTCTATCATACTTCTCTATGTGTGGTGTACAAATTGTAGAGACAATAGTAGGCATAAGGCGCATATCAATATTAAATAGCATGGTTTTATTGAAAACTTTCTTTACAAAAAAAAACTAATAGCCAGAATTATGACTATCATAATAATAACTGCACTACCGCCGTTTGATACTTTGCAAAACTACAACATAGGGTACTTAACTTTCTAAAATCGGTACTTACTTCGATACTTGATACTAGGGTTCTTTGTGGACATACCGCGTTAAGCACATACATCAAATACTGCGATGCTTAATTTACAAATAAAGTACTACGTAGAATGAACTAATTACTGCTCATGATTTCTATTAAACTCAAAAAAGATGTCGTAGAAAATCTGAAGTATCTTAGGAAAGCTCCTCGATATCATTAGCAATTATGCTGAGGCGTCTTAGATAATTATGAAACTATATTGTAATGGTCGACCTGTCGAAACTGAATAGTTAGCTATGATGTTTTGTCTTGCATTGGATAGCGGCTATCAACGAGCATAGTGCACTCTGTATAACTGACAACTAGTGCAACATTTAATAATATGGTTTTCATAAACGAATATACAAGAAAGTTATGCTTAACCATGCTTATCATGACGAAACCGTAATTATCCTGAGTAATGCCACTTTAAAATTCCAAAAAACCGCTATTTACAGCAGTTTTCTACAAAACAGATTTTCGCGAATTTAATCTTTTCTTATTTCAATAAATTAGTCACAACCCACTGCAAATCAGTATGAATAGAAAACAGTAACTTGAAAACAATTATTAGACAACTGCGGTAATGTATGAAGATGCTTTGGTATATGAAAGCAGTAGAGATCGTGGTACTCAATACCGTAGTTTGTAATGAAATACACCATGATATTAGAACGGTAGTCATCGAAAACCTCAACATCATAGTTTGTACTGAAGTTGCTCTTATATCTAAAATCGACAGTTATCACAGTGAGTTTCTCTGGGAGGGAAGGGGGGAGGGGTAGATGTTTATGTGCCATGTGAATGTAGATTCAGGTTTTTAATAAGAGTTCTTTTCATTCATACCCATATTCACCCGTTGGTTAGTTACGGTTATTCTTTTCTTTTCGGCCGATAGTTAACTGCGACTATTTTGCATTGAACCCACAGTAAAGTACTAGCGAAAAAGAGAGCTAATCGCCGTTAATGGTCTAGTTAATCTTAATAATGACCAGAACAAGCGGCGAGCCCATTATCATCCGATTAATTGCCAGTATTTTATGCTGTATCAGTATAGTTTCTATGAAAAATGATCGCAAGTTAATCGTAGGCTCAAAAAATAATCGAAACTAACTAATGGCTTTCCACTGTTTGAACAATATGTACATCGATATTCAAAAATAATCGTACATTTAACAGATGGCTTCGTTTTTTCGATATCTTCTGGCAAGTTAACGGTATTATCATATATTTTTCGTGAACATCTTGCTTATGGTTCATACTTTATTTTCGTACAGTATCAGGGACTTTTTCTCATGAATCCGCTTTGCCAAATATAAGGAATAACAATGACATTCTTTACTTTTCTCAAAATTTATCACACAGTGCATGTAAAAGTAAGCATATATTACAGGACAGAAACCTTGCATCGCACTATAGGCAAAAGACAAGCATATTACAACAGTAGTGTTATCGTAGCAGGCAAAAAAAAGATTATAATACAGATGTTTTTGTTTTTTTATTCTAAGGAAAAGATACACAGTTTCTTGTTGCCCAATAGACGCCCATTTTTATATCAAGTGTACCATCACTGGTGGAGATCATTTTTGGCATGACCGTGTCTTCTCTAATTAAATGATACATCACGATAGTTTCGACTTCATATTGCTCTTCTCACATGAATATGAAGAAATGAAACGTTGCTTATACGAAATATCATAGAGCAACAAATAAGACGAAAATTTGATGATAAAAAGTTCCTTTAATTACCAATGCGCACGTCGCTAATGTGAACATTCTTTCTTGAGATTTCAAGTCTCAATAAGGAAAATATGAACATACGCAGCAAAATTTTTCACTTAAAGTGTTGTTTTTCCGAAGTCTTCTAAAGATGACTTTTTTATTCTTGAAGAAAATCTTACAAAATAATAGTGAAGTTCATATTTCGAAGACCACTGAATTCAATATCCAAATCAACAATGTTAATTGTTCTGCGAAGAGTCCAACCAAACTAGAAATTACTAACTATTTTGTTTTAAACTTTTGCGATTCATTCGTTAGACTACATCTGAATGAAAATAAAATTTCAAATAAATAAGAATAAAAAGGTGAAAATAGTCTTTTCTTGATAATTGATAAAAAAAACTTATCTATATATTGTTTTGCGTTGTGTAATCAACATCTATTTATTAATATTGTGTTATTCTATGGAATAACATTAATGATCTGAAAAGATTCTTCGATAAAAAAAAACCAAGAATAAATTTAAATAATAATGATTATTCCAAATATTACTCGAATTTCATACTCTTCCGAAAATATATGAGAAAAGCCTTATTTGATTTACTTATTTAAATATAGTGTAAAATTTCAAATTTTGGGAAAAAAAATGATGAAGAAGGACAATACGTAGAATATACTCAATTCGAAGAAGAGAACAACGGATTTTAGGAATTCTAAATATGTAGATTTTCGTCATATTTTTCTTGGAAACATAAAGAACCTTCCGATGATTTCAGAATATTTTCTCTAACTTGAAAGAGTTTTACAAAAATTCAATATTTAACAAGACTTCAAGAGTGAGGTTTTCTTATTCTATTATTTTTCAATTATCATTGTTTGTTTTCACGCTTTCAGATAAAAATAATAGTTGATTAATAAAGCGATCTACCATATTGAAAACAAGAGAAAAGCATTGTTTATTATGGCCTCCTATGCATCTGCAACACCAAATAATTCTTTAAAACATGTTGAATGGATGTGGAAAGCAAATCCAAATCCATTTTCGTCATCCGAGCCAATCATATGGAATCATTATTCGGATTTAGAAAATTTAATCATCGAAGAAGCATTTCAAAGCAAACAACAACGAGCTTTATTGGATGATTATTATATTGATTTCGAAAGTAATCTGCAAATATCGAACACTGATGATTATAGGCAAAGACCAATAAAACGGGTCGTGCGCGAGCGACAAGACAAACATCTACGAGAAACACGTTTTATGGACCTTCCTGTTAGTACTAAACGTTCGTTTGGTGGTCAATACGGTTGGACAAGTCCCTTTGTCATCGAAGTCAGAAGAGACCTGAAACTTCAACCAGATGACTTACCTTCAAAAAAGCCAAACATGATTCCGATGCTTATTGAAAAAGCTGCTTGCGGTATCGTTGAAGAAGGAAAACACATTGGAAAACAACGAGAAGCCGAAAAATTAGCTAAAATGCTAAGAGAAAAGAAGAACGCTGGTATGGAGGAAGTATGGAAACTTTGTGTCTATCTTTACACATTGGAAAGTTTCCTCTACAAAACATTGAATGCAGCAATGAGATTAGTTGGAGATAAAGAACATGAACAAGTATGGCGAAGTAAAGTTCGTACATTAGGTCCATTCTGTTTACTACTCTGGGATGATCCATTTAATCAAAAAGTGACAGTTAAAAAGACACTTTATCGAGGAGCCGAACTGACGAAGAAACAGATTGCTAAATATGAACATATGGCCAAAGACAAAAAGGCATTTGGGTCATTTCAAGCCTATACATCTTGTAGTCGCAATCATGAAAAAGCCGAAGAATTTGGAAATACATTATTCATTATGAAAGTGTTGTATGCCTTTATTGCTGATCTCAGTCCATTATCTGAGTATTCTGAAGAAGAAGAACTTATTACACCAGGTGTTTGCTTTCGGGTTGAAAGCGTTGAATTCAAACGCAAGACAAAGAAATATTTGATTCACTTGATACTTCAACAACGATTTTCAAGTAAGCAAGAAAATATTCTTTCTAATCACATTTATAATATAATAATAACATTTCATAAAATATTATTTTCATTCGATATGCTATATTAAGATTATAGTAATTGACAATATTGAAATTCCGTCATATAAATAGATTGAAGTTCCATATGTACTGTCATAGTTAAGAAATAATAGTTTATCTAGCTCATCAAACTTTGCTATACAAATGTTAGCCCGTATTTTATCGGTTAAAATATGTATGAACAATCTTGAAAATGCATGTACAGAATCGAATAGGCAACCTATTAAAAGAATCACTTTTTAAATATTTCAGACATATTGATCCGCTTGTTGACAATTTGACGCACATATTTTTTCAATTCATAGTGCATAATATTCTTTACAAAGCCGCTTAGCAGTATCCCTTCAATAAGATAAATGGAAAACTAATTATATATGACTAGTAATACTAAACTCTCATTATACTCATTTCGCAGTTTTCTTTCTTATTGTTTCAATTTTCCATTGTTATTTGTTAATGAAGAAAAAAACTTTAAATATTACATTTTGTAGACCACGAAAAGTTTTATCAGTTGAAAGAGTATTTTTTCCATTCCATATACCTTTCCAAAGAAAACATCTTGTAAGTGTTCCTTTATTTAAATTTTAAGAATCGTCAATACAAACTCCCTAAAATTTTGATTTAGTTAAACAGGATTTTCAATTTTATACGGCTTCAAGTTCATTACTATGTTGAAGGAATATATTCTTTTTATCTACATTTGAGACAAGGGAGAACTTGTGAAAACTTTTTTTCTACGGTGAGTGGTGTAAGTAACAAAAGCAATCATTGGCTTCAATCTATAATCTCGAAAAGGCTGACTTTGAGAAGCGTCACAAAATTGCTTGAACATCTTTTCTAAATTCTATTAGAAACAACCTACTTAGTATCATAGGAAGCCTATTTGACAATAATCTGAAGTCTGTTTAATTGAAGGAGAAAGAATGAATTTAAAAACAAAGCCACGTTGAGAGCGAAATTTTTTCGGACATAACACCAATAATCAAATGTAGTTTTCCACTGATACTTTTGAAGATATTCTTGTTTGGCATTTGTAGAGAATTTCACAAGATATTTTTTGAAAAAGTGTCAGTAAAATGAGTAGTAATTGAAAGAAATTTTGAAAAACTACTTAGAAGATAATTTATTGAGAGTTACTCATTTTATTGGAAGCTATTTTATATATATATAAATTGAAAATTATTTTTAAAAAGTTCATTCAGAATCGATTCGTTATTCCTGCTTGATGATTATAATCTGAGGCATTACTAAAATGTCATCTGTTACAACAGAACAAAGTGAAAGGCTCGAAAAAAGACTCGGACGTTTGTTTGGATATGAGTTCACTTAATATTGTTGATTTTTTTGGGCTTAGACTCATCACCCTATTCTCTACAAGCGTAATCGAAAACAGTTTGATATTCGCTTCTAATGGATTGATCGAAAAGTTTAAAAAAATAGCGACTTAACACATACAGTCGAATTCTAATATAAAAATCATAAGGAGCCGATAAAAGCTTTCGAGATTTGAATGACTTAATCTTCAAAATGAACTTACATGAACTGATGTTTATAAATGATCTGACGTATTGACTCTATGAATATCTCGAAAACAATATTTGGAAAAGCCTTAGCTCTAACACTGAGTAACGAATAGTAACACTGTCCCAAACATGGCTTAATATCTAGACTTGAACCTTCTTCAAGTTATCACGATATTGTTTATATTAGAAGATATATTTTTAATACTCTTTGAGACAATTATTTTCACCGAGAGGCAAGATCTGATAGAACATTCTTGAACACAAAATCAGAAAGATGTTCGCGCATATGAAAAATGAACTAATATTTAAGAAGGATCTTTTTCATCGCTAGTTAGTTAACTATTTGCCCATAGTAATGTAGACTACGATCTATAAGTACCTGTGCAAATATCAAGACCTTCTATGTTCAAAAACCAATTACTGAGAATCTAACCTCCTCACCTACAGATAGATCATATATATATATATATAGATTCAATCATATATCTACAGTAACATTAGTATATATATATGTACACAATCTATATCATAAAATTTTAATGTTATTAAAATCGATAATTTAACACCTATCTTATTTTGATTTTCATTACGTGGACTAAAAGATATGGTATGATGTTTAAATCTCAGAAGAGAAGACTGTAGAATATAGATTTCTTGAAAATCAATTTTTTACTTGTTTTTTTTTTTGTGTGTATTTAACTTAGGCATCAATCAGTTTTAAGAGAAAATTGAAGAGATTCATATTTTTTACAAAAATATATAAGCACATATATGTAGAGAAAAATTTGTGAAAATGTTCAATATATGAAAGATTTTTAAATCTGACAAGAATGTGGAAAATTTGTTATGTTGCAGCCATAAGGGATAGAAAAACGGTTGCCTTAGAAAATCGTTGATAGTGCCAATGTTGACATAATTAGAGATTTAACTTGAAATCTTTGCAATTGGGCACACAGTTCTTCATTAGTTGTTTTTTACTGAATGAAATATATTTTGATAGTTTTATATTTAAACTAATAAAACATGTTGAGAGTGTATGTTTGCGTACTCATTAAAAAAGAATAAGAAAAGTTTGTTTTTATTTGTCCAAACTATTGGACAGGTTTTAATCGAGCTTCTTTCTCATTTTTTTCTAATAGTCAAATCAGAATAGTATTTCTTATTGTTTGAACTACCTTATGTGTATTTGAAAATTAAAACTAGATTTTTGATTATCATTCAGGAGTAAATGTTAATTTGATTTAATCAGCTGATGAATAAATAAATTTTTTTAATGTTATCTTTGAGGTACACTTTATAGATTTACTTCGCATTCATCTGTGAGAAAGCAAATAGAGACAATCGATTAGAAGATAATGTTTCCTCTTGATGCTTTGTTGAAGCTAATTGAGAAAAAAAGAAAATGAATTTCTTTTAAAGTTGTTTCTGTTTATTACTTAATAATGAGTCTATTAGCGAATTATTTTTCAGGCTTTTGATTTTTAAGAAAAATTCTTTGAACTAGTCAGATAAACTCAATTGAACAGTTCTAGATTATTCACATTTCTTAGTTTCGTCATTGAAAATATTTTACACTATTTCGAAATAAAACCATTTAGATAAAAAACATTCGAAGAGGCATAAATATTATAACCTACAAGTATGTTGAAAAAGTTGTCACTAATGTCAATATCACTTGAAAACAAGGATTTAGTAGAATCTTGAATTTTTATCAGTTAAGAATTATAACAGGTTCAAAACCAAATCTAGTACACAAATATTGATTGTCAAAAATAATACCATTTTGAGAAAAGAAGTAATTCTCTCTAAAATTTATATATTTGATTATTAGTAATTCATAGAAAAAATCTTTAATAACAAAAGTTCTACGCAATCTTACATAAACTCAACAAATATTCTCCAGAGATGTGCTTTTTCTTCTCAATGGCATCATCTCTAAAACAATAATTAACCTTAGATGAATCGATATAATAAGATTTCTAAAAAAAAATATCTAAGACTAATAGACAGGTTAGTTTTAGTTGTTTTTCATTCTTCACATATGACATGAGAAAAATGAGACACAATTTTGCATAAAATTTATGAATTTTTTATCGAACGATCCTAGAGCTTGTGTTAATGAAGTGAAACTCTAGTCCTCATGTACTGCTTGATTCTTCTTTCCACATATAAATGTATTTAAAAATCATAAATTAGGACAGATTCCTATAATTAACATCGAGATAAAGATCTTGACTCTGATGTCGACCAGCCGTATCCAGAAGGTTAAAGATTACAATAGTGGTGATTGTTAACGATGAAGCGTTTTATGCTTATAAATTTCAGAATAATTTTGACGATACTGAAAGAAAAATCACAGAATAAATTATTGATATTCGGATATTGATTATATACATTGTTTAGTGCGGTCAATTAGACTACGTCATCGTTGAAAATATGAAATTAATCTTTAACATTTTAAATTTATTTACAGTTATTATTTTGTCTTTCAGTCTTATATAAACCTAAGTTGTAGTAGAATGAATTTTGAATGCACAAAATACTTTTTTTTCATTAAGATGAAGAATGCTTGTTTCTTATGTAATATCCTTATCGATTTTTCGTAGAGAGATTGACTTCAGAAAATATTTTATTAAGTGATTAGTCTCATATTAAATAGAATTGAATATTTCATCAAAACAATAAATTTAATAACTAAATATATGAAAAAAAACGTCATCAAGACTATCGAATAAATGATACATTCGATAAAAATAAAAATTTTCTTTTTATCTTCTCATCATATTCAATGATTAATGTTTGTAAGAGCTGAGTCAAATCTTGAAAATGGTCAAAAGTGTGGATGTTAGGTTTTAGTTAGGAATATCAATACATTCACACTCTGTACCGATATCAAAGTTGCACCGTTATATTCTCAATATGGCAAATAGTATAGAATCGAACGAATGGAATTCCTATTATGATTTGAATTCTCAATAAAATCGAAAATATCTTCTAAGGATATTGTAATATTGACACTAAAAGCTTCATGGATTCTTTCATGTAAAATTCAGTATTTTCTATATTCAGACAGTTTGATAGAGTACGAACAAAACACGAAATTATTCTTGAAACGACTCTTAGATGGCAGAAGTCAATTTTTAAAACTCATAGTTATTTGCATAACATATTTTATTTTACAATCTTCATTTTCCTATAAATATGAGATGATTTGTAAATTTTTCTAGTTTAATATTGTTAGTCATAAAGTTAGACCAATACCTAAACCGATTTCGGATATTTTTTTTTCTCATTTAAACATATGCTAGGACACATTATAAAGACAATGTTTGTTGCAAGAGATATTTGATCACAATACTATAAAGCGTAGCATCAGTTTGTGAATACTCGAAGCCTTACGAAGGCATTATGAGCCGAAGTTTTTGATAATTCGGAAATATATTAAGCATTTTTTTTCGCAAGTGGGATGTTGAAAAGGATCGAGAAGTTGCTATAGAACATAGATT